TTCAGCCGTTGATGGAGACAGTAGGGTTCTCTGTGTCTTGGCAGGCATACATTATTACTCTTTCTGGGAAAATGACCATTTCTAGAACTTACTCTTCAACTTCTACATTAATTTCTAAAATAAATGAGAAGAGAAAATAGGTAAATTATAAAAATAGAATATATTGCTTCTTATGGCTTTGTGATCCCCAGGGTCATTGTTGATTACTAGCCTGTTAGCTCTTACAGTAAAGGTGAGTATCTTTAAAACTGAATTTTGTATGATATTTATTACAGCCTCTTCAAAAACAGAGATTCCTTTAGGAGAGTATCAGTGCAGTAGATTTAATTGTGTTAATCGATCTATTCTAAATGTTTTATTAAAACATAAGATCTTAAATCAATTAAGATTAACTTGATAACTTTTTTTTTTAATGTCCAACTCTTAAAAAAAAAGTATTAGAATTGGTATTGTGCTCAGGTTCACTGCAAAGAATAGAAAAACTCAGGAATATGTAAAGAAGAAAATAAAAAAATCCATTATTCCATCACCCAGAGAAAACTATTATTGCCTTTTGGTATATTTCCTTTCATTGTCTTCTTACGTAGACATGTAAACCTTTTACAAAGGTAGCATATAGTACAGGTACTGTATGCTGTCCGCCACCGACATTACATAAAGGACATTTTCTGGGTGAGTTAAATATTCTTTAAAGACATATTTACTGCTGACTATATTTATGAATCATCATTTATCAATCCAATCTCCTGTTATTAGACTTTAGGTGGTTTCCAAATTTTGCCTTTTTAATGCTTCAGCAAGTATCTTTGCTCATTTGTTTGTCCATCCATTCATTTATTCAATCAGTTTTTACTGAGGACTGTGTGCCAGGCTCTGGGCCAGTAGTTGAGAATACAACATTAATCATAACCCTCCTAATAGCTAACATTTATTACCATTACTAATTATGGACCAGGAACCTTATTAAATATTAGTATGTTAATTATATAAATATGAATTAGTATAATACTCATTCTAATAAGTTAGTATAATAGTATTAATTAAATCCTTATGAGGTAGGTATTATTATCTGTTTTCTTATTTTCTAGATAATAAAATAGAGGCTTACATAATTGAAGTTACTTGCCTAAAACACTAAGTTGGTACCTGAAAGAGCCAGAATTCAATCCCAGGCAGCCTGACTCCAGTCCAGTTCTTTTAACCATAGTGGCTACTGTATCAGTAAAAAAGACACTCCCTTGCCCCTACGGATGTGCAACAGTTTTAAATGTCATACTCTGAGTGATTCTCTGATTATTTTCTTAGGATAAAGTCTAGAAATATACTGAGTCAAAGAGTACAAATAATCCCAGTGAACAATACTGTGGTCAAGGTCCTAAATGGGGCAGGACTGGAGATGACAAGATTATCTATCTATCTATCTATCTATCTATCTATCTATCTATCTATCTATCTATCTATCCATCTATCCATCCATCCATCCATCCATCCATGCATCCTGGGTCTCTGTTGTTGCTCTACCAGCAAGGTAGATAGCAGGAGATAGGTGTAGGGGTGATTCAGGCCCCTGGGAAGCTCTGGGCAATGCTTTAGCTGTCAAGGCAGAGTCAGTGGGTGGTTGCCCTTCAGAAATGTGTATTTTCTTTTGACACTGTAGGATGCAAGATAGCAGAGGGGAGGCAGCAAAGAGAGGAAGAGCTCATCAGAGGAATGAGTCTAGATGGCAAGTGAATGTGTAGCCCCTTAGAATGAATAGCGTCACAAGAAAATGCCTCTGCTTGCTACAAATTACCAGTGCAGTTAGAAACTTTCTTATTTCAATCAGTGTTTAGGAGAGCCTTCCTTGCACCTAAATCATAAATTACTCATATGGCAAGTGACTGTAAATTTTCTTTCTGCTCCTCATATTCCATACTTCTTAAGTTCCACTCCCCCAGATGAACATTACCTGTTCGTTGCCAGCTTTTTGTGATGCAGTACTGTGTAGTAGCAAAAACACAGACTTGATTGGTGGCTGTCCTAGCTTTGGTTCCTGGCTTTGCCACTAACCTGCTGTGTGGGATTGGACAGTCTTTTAAATTCTCGATTTCTTACCTTTAAAATAATACATAGTTGTAATGATAGTCAAATGAAGTGCCACGAGCCGAAAAAAATAACAGCTAACCTGTACTGAGTTCTTATTATAAGCAGCACAAAATAAGACACTGTTCTAAGTATTTAAAATGCATACATGTACGTATTCCTCTGAATAATCACATGGTAAGCTGGATTCTAGATAGCTCTATGGCTTTCACACCTGGTGTTACTTCTGTGATTATGTTACATAATGTGGCAAAAGAGACTTTGAAGATGTGATTAAGGTGACTAATAGTTGTCCTTAAGATAGGAAGATTATCTAAGTGGGCTTGGATATTATAGTCATGTAACCACATGAGCCCCTTTAAAGCAAAAGTTTTCTCTGGCTATTGGCAAAAATAGAAATCAGGGAGATTTGAAGCATGAGAAGGACTCAAGGCAACTGTTCTTAGAAAATGGAAGAGGTCATATGAGGAGCCTGGGCAGCCTCTCCAAGCAGAGGTCGGGCTCCCTGCTGACAACTGATAAGGAAACAAGGGCTTCAGACCTATAGCTGCAAGGAACTGGATTCTGTCAATAACCTGTGTTTGGAAGTGCATTCTTCTCAGAGCCTCCAGATGAGAGCCCAGCTGGCTGTATCTTGGTTTCAGCCTTGTGGGATTCTAAGCAGGGAACCCAGTTGAGCCCACTAAACTTCTAACCCACAGAGCTGCAAGATAATGAATGGGTGTTTTTTAAGATGCTAAGTTGTGACAGCAATAGAAAAAGAATACAGGTTGCGTGCAGTAGCTACCTTTATTCTTATGCATGTTTTGCAGGTGAGGAAACTGAAGCACAGAGAAGTAAACTCACTTGTCTGAAGTCTCACAGCTATTAAATATCAGAAATGGGATGGAGGTAGTCTGTCCCCAGAGCCCAGTCTATCACAGCAACACAGTGCCTGAGACGTTTGTGGGTACTCATTGGTTTTCCTTCTCTTCTCTATTTAGTGTAGCTTAGAGGGCACCCAGCTGCCACATTTCTCGATTTTGCCGCTGGTGGGTATCTGGTGTTATGGCACTGGGTTTGGGATAAAGATTGCATACTTGGAGCATTATTTTCATTCATGGGAGGAGGTCTTTTTATAATATAACAAATCTGAATATTTCATAGGCCAGAATACAAAAGGTAAAACCAGAGATTTCAAAGAAACTTTATGTTTTTGATGATCTCTTTACTGTGAAAAATACTTGATTAAAAAATAGTCTGAGACGCACTGAGCTGATATAGTCAAATTAATTTACACCTTTTCTTCCCATTTTCTTTCCTAAACTCACAGTGAGTTTGCTGTACCAGCTAGAATTCCTGAATGAGAATCAGGAAATCTGGACCCAGCTATTCATCACCATCCATCCAACCATCCATCTTCTATTCATGGAGTCTAACAAACATTTGTAGAATGCTGCTATTTGCCTGGAGTGTCTCGAATACAATGTGACTTGATGAAGTAATACAAACTTTTCTAGTTCTGCTTCCTTGCATTTAAAACTAGGCGATTTGAAAAACCTTTCTCTAGGGTCTCTCTATTAACAAATGAATGCTTTTTACAGTTCTTGTATGTGCTGACCTCTGGATTTGACAAAGGAGGACGATGTTTCAAAGTCCAGCCTGGGCACCACCTGCACCAGAATCTGCTCAATGAAAAAGCAGATCCTGAGGTTGCCCCAAACCTTGTGAATCAGAAACACTGGGAGTTGGGGCCCAGGACTTCTGGTTTTAACCAAGTTCTCCGGGTTATTCTCATGCACACTTAAAAGTTTGAAAGAATACGAAATAAAGATATAACATAGGCTCTGTGTCCTAAAAATATCTCCCATATTAAAAGACAAGCCTTATAGGTTTGGAAAGAGAAACACGGCATACCTGCGTGTATCAGTCTCCTGGCCGTCACCCGACCCCCACCGGAACCTGCGACCCCAGCCAAGGCTGCGATTATGGAGCGTATCTGGCCCAGCTCCTGTGCCTGCAAAGTCACCTTTCCCCTTCTGGGGCTTACCTGTGCCTGCCCCATTCAGACACGGGTTAAGGTGAGAACGTGTGCGGGAGTTCCCCCTCCCGGGCTTCGGGAGCCTTCCCTTTCCCAGAGGGAGGGTGGGGCTGGCGCAGGCCGCCCGGGAGCCCCTGCGGGCAGCTCGCGCTTTGCAGCGGTAACCCGCCGGTCAGCCCCGGCCTGAGGCAGCCTTTTTCACCTCCTTCGGCGCGGAGAGGGGAGCTGGGGAAGCGGGTCACCCCGGCCGGCCCGGTAAGCAGACCCTCCCGGCCTTCGCCTCTAGCTCTC